CATTAAATTCCAGTGAAATATATTTATGTTTGTGGTTGTAATGTGACAAAATATGGAAAAGTTCAAGGGGTATGAATACTTTTGCAAACCACTGTATATGCTCTCCATTATCTTTGCCAAAGCATTTTCATAATTATTTTGACTTTAATTCTGATTATCATTCATATTCCACAAGAAGAAGGCACAAATTACATGTTGCATTGTGTAGAACGACAGTTGCTGGATTTTCTGTTGTACAACAATGTGTTGAGTTGTGGAATAGTTTGAATCAAACAGCTTTAACTTGTTCAACTTTATCTGTGTTTAAAAATAAGTTGAAAGAAAGCTTTTGAATTTTTTTTATTATTTTTTATTGTGTTTAATATTGTTTCTGTTCAGGTTAAGATCTGTGATTGTGTAGGTTTAATTGATTTATATATATGAATTTGTTTTATTTAATTGTTAAAATTGATAAATTTATTTTTTTTTTGGGGGGGGGGGGGCTTTATAAGCCCATTTGTTTTGTTTTTTTTACCTCTCCTGCACATTTTGTTTTATCTTTGTATTTTCTTATGTTTTTAAAGTTTTCTTTTTCTTTTTTTCTCTTTTGTGAGTGCAAATAAATAAACCAAACATCAAAAGACACCTACAAAAATTTATTTTTAAAAACATTTTAGTTTTTGCATGTTTTGATGTATGTTGTTGCTGTTGCAGCTGAACAAAATTAACTAGCAGTCAACAACTCCATGTGACTACCAGCCCATGTTTCTGCAAATGAGTGACTTCAACAATGCCCTCTTGTTGACGCTGAAACTGATGCGGATCGGCATGCAACTAATGCACAATAAAAGCAGAATCATCCATTTACACAATCAAGACATTAAAAAAAAAACACTTCACACAGCAAACCGAAACACAGATTGCCCACAAGAGAGGGTGAGACATGACGCAAAATCATTAATTATATCTTCATTAAACAATTAAGAAACAAGTTTAAGGAAAATATACAAGTTTAATATGTGCTTATAATGGTAGTGTTTACCCATATGTACTATTCACTACAACTCTGAACCACTGCAGTGATTGGCCTTGTGGAGTATTTTTGGTAACATCCTCCCCTCCAATCCTTCTCTCCCTGCGCAGGACCAGGGTCAAGAAACAACACTGAGTAAATCACTAAATCCCTTCTGAAAATAAAATAAAAAAGGAAGTGGGCTTGGTTTGTGTTTGTGAGTGTGTCTGTTTGCGTGCTGAGGTCATGAGAAAAGGGTACAGGCTATGACCACCCATTCATTCTATCTGGGGGAGGATGTTATCCAGTGGTTCCTTCAAGGTCTTCCTCCTAACGCAGAGTTCATCGGGTCAAAGAGTATTCTCATCTCCCATTGGCTCTTTGAAGGAATGTCAACCGTTCAGAGCAACCATGTAAAGGCAAAAGCTAGCAGTCTATTAAATGATTAAAAATTAGGGAATGAAAAAAAATTAGTAACAATTCACTCAAGCCCCGATTCAATTCGATTGTTGATTTTAAGCTCATGATTACAATTATTTTATAACCAAATATGTTTATTTTATTTTTACATCAGGATTTTTTTCCCTGTATCAAACTCTGTCTGTGTCGTCTTAATAACAGAACTTAACATAAAAATACAAATGTGAAAATAAATAATTTTATATAGGTTTCTTTTAACATCAGCATTTTTGTYCATGCATGAAAGTGTTGTCTTAAGACCCTGTCACACTAGACAACCTTTGCCAACTTATGAAACATTTTTATGTCTAAATTGCTAATAAACATTATATATTTGATTGATTTGTTMGAATTACATTATGTGCACACCGAAAAGAAGCTCCCTGTTGATTTTTTTAAATTCCATCTTCAATGTAGATGCTTTTAAAATGTTCATAAGTTGGCATAAGTTGTCTAGTGTGACAGGGTCTTTAGTAAMATAACCTAAAAAATAAAAACGCTGTCACAAACCCTTTTGTGACTAAGTTATCATTAAACCAAATTTGTCTTGAAGAGATAACTTACTGTTACAATGAAATCAATTCATTCATTTTTAAGAATCAATTCACATTTTAAGCAGTTATAACCAATTACGAATCGATTTTCAATTAATTGCTACATCCCTATTAAAAATATAAAAGCTAAAAACAAACAAAAGACTTACTCCATCTTGTTGACTTACTCTTCAACACTGATTAAATGCATTATTATAGTTAGCATGACTCCAATCGCAAATACAGGGAATGGAGAAAATTGACCACCACCAAATGTTAAGACCTGAAGTAAATAACAATGAAGTGGTCAAAAAATTAAAGTGTCTCTTGTGGATTTGGTTTTTACACATAGCTTCTGTGTGGGCTGTTAGTGGAATTGTAATTTAGATTAAATTAAAGTGTATGCATGTGGTTAGGACTCTGCACACACAATAATAGCAAAAAACACAATTTGTCACTCATTTATGCAAATATATACACACACCTTCCACTTCAAGCAAAAGTTTCCATGGCAGTAAAGTGATTTGCTATCCTGCACATCACTCAGCAGGCACAGTGAGCAGGCTTGGAAAAATGTGAGTTTTGAGCTAATTTCTAATAAGCATTTATCATGAGACTACCAACATCAGGTGACTTTCACTAGAGAAGCAGTCAGGTGACTCTGCTGCTAGTCCCAAAGGTTATGGATGTCATGTGACCATAACACTCCAGCAGTGGTAGGAGAGAGGGAGGGAGGGAGGAGGAGAGTAAGGAGGCGAATGTGAAGAAGCAGTGGCAAAGGAAAAAAGGACAGAGGAAGAGGAAAGCTTACCTTTGACGGGTCCGATGTAAATTATTTCAGAGGCTAGGATGAAAAGAAAGAGGATGAAGGAAGAGACAAAACAATTGGAGGGAAGGAGTGGAATGGAAACAAAAACCAGTAGGTCAGACTTAAGATGCTGAAAAACTCTTCAAGGACAGAACACGAGAAAAGACACAAAGCTGAGGAAGACAAAAACAGAGAGTTTTGTGGCATTTCCACAGACACTGCCAGCTCTCAGCCCCACAGTGGATGACTCAGTTTACCCCTCTTTACAAAGAGGGATCACCCTGGTTTGATTAACCAACCAACGCAACATGAGTAATTCCAAATGCAGGGAAAGTTTTGGTCAACATAACCCGACTCTTCAAAAATAAACTGCAGCACAAATATAAAGTCTGGCTCTCTGTTGCGTTACAAAACGGTGAGTCCAGTGGAACAAGCTGGAGAGGCATTATGGGTAAAATCATGGGTCTTGGTTGGAACCACGGATATTCTATAGAACAGCTGGAGTGCGTCAAAACCATGTGAGCATGTGATCTACTGTAGATGCTATGGCGCTAAGCAGAACAGGCATGAGTCTGGATTTACCATTACTGTACATGTTAAAAGCAGTGAAAAAAATGGACCAATCATGTAGAAATCATAAAATAATAAAATTATTTTTTTATATTTTAGAGAGTAAATCAGCTATCTAATGTATATAAAACTGTCAGAAAACTGTGTGTGTTAAGGATTTACCAACAGAAGAGAAACAGGAAAATATCTCATTTCACAAGCAGATTTGATCTTATTTACCTCAATGTGGATGTGATCTGACTGACCAGAACTGAAGCTAATAATTTAACATTTTCAAATTAAAATAAGTTCATAAAGCTGATGTAATGGTTATTTATTGAACTGGTTAGCAGATATTAGTTTCTGTAGCATATATACAATTTAGCACAAATTATTATATGTAACAAGCAGATTTTGACTCTGATTTTTGTAATATTTACATAGTGTAAACTAATACAAGTATTTTTTAGGTTTATGTTAGACAAACCTGAACTGTTGAGAAGATGGTTAGCCAATATCAGTAGAGAAAAGTTTCATCCTACAACCAGGTATGCAGTGAACATTTCTGAAGTGTCGACTGGTAAATATATTATTTATGAGAGTAAGAAATAATAAATATACTTTATTAGCGGTAGAAATCAATGTTTCAACTAGCTAAAAATAAGCTACTGACTTCAGGTCTGGTTTAGATCATTGTTACTTAAAAATTATATACAGTATTTTATGCTATATATCTAGCTGTTTCACATGACTGTTAAATGAAATTAATATAATTAATAATTTATTATCAAAATATAACATATAATTTGTGACACACATCCAGTTGGGCTTGCTGTTAATATAATAGCTGCTATAACATCTGTGCTCCTCCATGTTGTCACAGATGCTGACAGTGGACGGGATAGGCTGGACCTACTCTAGTGATTTATCAACTCTTTGGTCGGAACCATAACAGTTTAAAATTAGTAGCATCATTTCTTCACTGAAACAAACGGTTCTATGAACACTTCCGGGGAATGTGAAGCCTGACAAGTTATAAAGTTTCTGAGACAAAATGCTTAGATCAGTGATTCACAACTCCGGTCCTTGTTACCATCTGCCCATGTGATTTATTACAGAGTTAAGAATATACCGGTACTTCACTGTATACTGCTCATATTCTATGTGTAAGAAAATATTGATACACTAAAATATCACAATATTTCATTTCATGATACTGTATTATTCTTTAAAATGTATATTTTCATGCCAGCAGCTCAACTTTGTGTTGTAATTAAGCCTCCGGGTGGTAGTTGGCAGCAGTCAGCCAGCCATTTGGCTCCTTCACTCCTGAGGAGCCAGAGAGTAAACTAGCTCAAACTGTAAAATTGTGAGTAAACGTTAGCACTAAGTATCAATGTCTGAATCTGAGCAGATTAGATGGGCACCCACACGTAAAACATACTGAGTTATGTTTTTATTGGAATGTTTACAGAAAAAAAAGGATGAAATTTATCGCCTTCTTTACAGAACTGCAATATATCGTGACGTGACCCGTGTCATGGTACGGTACGTATCGTATCTCCAAATTCTTGCAAACACACCACCCCATTCTATACTTTATGAATATATGGAACCTCAAATAACAAGTAAAATATACTTATTTGTGTGGAAAAATACTTTATTTTTAATAATTTTGCTGTCAACAATGAATTATCAATGTTCTGCAGAAATAATTAGATTCTTTAAAGAATTCCTTGTACAATTTATTGGAATTCAAATCATACTAAGAAGAGGATGAAAAAACAAACAAACCATGCTTCTGATTTTATCACAGGCTTGTGATTTTGATCAGAAGACTTGGGCTAAGAGGCCAGCTCTTCCACACAAGGGACAGAATTGCYTTCGATAACTTTACCATGAAACACACTTTCTGACTGCAGCAAGCCTGCGCGCACACAGACACGCATATATACACTGAACACACAGGGAACCTGGTGATATTGTACAAATTCTGCACATTCCTGTTGAAAGTCAGTTTTTCTGCACCACCAAACAGTGTGACCAGATTTATTTGCTGGAAACAGGATGCATTTCTACTGTAGCACACCCATATTATGTAATATGACTTTGGGTGTGATCAGCATGTTGATGACAGGCTCAGTTTTATATTTTTTAATACTCATKTCCCTTTATAGGCAAATAGATACAGCACTGAGGACTTTGCAAGTGATATAGTTCTTTGTTGCGTTAAGAGTTCACAAAAATATTTAGGCTTCTTTGTGTATAAATAGTCAAACAATGCAAATGGAGCAGGAACAGACTGTAAAGCAACAGGAGACTCAACACACAAAGAGTTCCATTCATCTTGTCCCATAGTGTTAGCGTTTGTTGCTGGATGCTAACACTGTAGCCGCGGCCCAGTCTGCTTTGTTCTGCTCCTCCCTGCTCATACGGTTGTAACACTCTTCTGCACGCTGCAGGAAGAAGGGTCATAATAACTGTACTCGTGTTGCCTGGTTTGAGCTTAAAATGGCAGCGTGACCAGCTATGTGTGGAATCTCAGCCATTCTTRGTACACCCTGCCTGAAGAACTGGGAGCTATGGCTGTCGATCCCATGCAGGCCTCAAACTCACACATTCACATTTGGTCAGTAGCAGTTGGGTGAAGCAATGTGGAGTTATCTTAGTGGTTTCTCAACCACAATTGCAGACAAACACAAAAAAAAAAGGGATGGAGACTTCTCTGTGGGAGCCAGTGGAACCTGCTGATCAACCTGCTGCTTCAGTAACTAGCAAGAAAGTTTAACTTTCCAAATGTTTATTTGGAACCAACGCTAAAATAAGGTGCAAATGTAAGTCACCTGATCCTGGGGTCAACAGTGGACCCTCCAGCTCCAGGCCATCATCCTGGTCTACCTCATCCAACTTTTTCTTTTTCTTCTTAGGATCCCGAGGTTTGCGCAGTAGAGACAGCTCCTCTGGGTGGCGGATATCTGTGGTGAAATGACAAGAAAGTTAATCGGAAGCCAAATACCGTAAACCCAACGGCTAGAAACAACCAAGCCCTTCTGTACACAAAACAAGGCAGTTTTTTGTTTCTTTTGGGTCACGAGTCACAAAAAAATAAAATAAAATAAAAAACAGTAATTAGCCGTTTTTAACTACAGGCTTTAAATAAACCACTTGACCTCTTGCAGTGCACACAAACAATGAGTAGAAAATATATAGGACAGGCAAACAGATGCAAAGTCAATGTATTTTGTTACAAAAGACAGAAATAGAGAAGGAAGAAGAGGAGGCAAAAAGACTGAGAAGATGGGTAGGAAATATACACAGCTGTGCACATGTTGGGTGGAAAATTGCAAATCTCTTTTCTCAGCACCCCCACCCCAAAAATGTCTTAACTGTAATCTCCAACTAAGGCAAGATAGACACAACTTCATTTTCCTCCAACATTCCCCTTTTAACTATTCACTGCACACAAAATTCAGCTGCAGCAGAATCAGTGAGCAGCCTTTTTTAACCAAAGAGCAGTAGATCTAAATTAAAAGAGCAACCATATTGAAAATCTGTACATGGAGTGGTTGAATGCCAAACAACAGAGAGTAAGAAACCACATTGAAAATAATGACTAAAACAGCAGAGTATTCCCTAGCCTCTTGTCTGTTCTCCCCATCTTTTGCACTGAAGGGCCAGGGAACCATCACTCAGCAACAGCCACGATGGGACTGCTCTGATGGAGGGCTTAGAACAGCCAGAAAGTGTCAAGATTAGAACAAATGAATTGAACGTAAAAGCGCACACATCTGGACACTTAGCTGGATTTGGACTTGCCACGGTTTCGATATAAATCAGAAGAGCATGAGAGCATCAGAAAGAAGTCGAAATTTTATTTTTCTCCCCCCTACAAACAGCTGTGCATCTATTTCATAGATCTGAACTTTCTACAGATAAAAGATGAAGAATTGTTGTGATTGAGGACGTTGCCAAAGGTGTTGAGGAGAACCCAAACAGGAGGGTCGAGAGGACGTCTTGACTTGGTGAGGCGGCTTGTTTGGTTTGTGTAACTAAAGCAAAAGCATTCCAGGAGTTTTAAGAACTACCAGATGAGAGCTCACCCACTCTCAGCCTCCCTCCTCCCTCAGTCTGACTTTGTTGTAGCACTGCAGCGCAGTGCCTGTGCCCTTATACAGCCATGTGAGTTCCTGGCGTGCTGAGCTTTAGCCTGCGCTGAGCTATGTGAGGAGGCCGACACGCACGGTGAAATATGTATCAGACTGTGAGTACTCAGACTGGACTGTGGGTCCTGGTGAGGAATAGCACAAGCATGTGGTGTGTTACTACAATATTTGTTTTATCGTTCAACTCTTACAGGTTTAACATGGAAACTTTTGTGACACATACTAGTTGAATAATACAAATAAGAGGTAATGCATCTGATATGAATATTTATCAGTTTTTTCCACTATTTTGTTATAAACACTTGTCGCTCTGTGTAGATTTTAGGGCACTTAAGATTTAGGGGATTTTCTCAAATCTATTTCAGAGACAAGTTCAGTATCATCAAAAAGACAAACAGGAAATAGAAAAGCTCCTATAAAAGTAATAAGAGCAGGCCTTCTTTTGGCTTTAGGGTAAATAAACAATTATAAYACAAACAAACTTTATCTTCCAAAACTGGAAAAAAAAAAAGAGTGCTGATGGAGACTTCATGCTGCCTAAAGGATTGCTTTACATTCTTAGAATATACATGTAAAAAACACACAAAAAACTGTACATGGTAGTACTAGTATTCCACCAATATTGTCAAAAGCTAAAAAAAAAAATTAAACTATCATAAAGCATTTTGGTTAAATGATATTTCTACTCTGTCATGTGTAAACCCCTTCACTCAAACAGATAAAGCTGATTAATTTATTAGTTAACAAAGGCTTTTTATACAAACAGTCGCTAATGGTTGGGAACTGCAATAAGGATTTTTCTCAGAACCACAACATCTTATATGTATACTGACTCTCATTTAATCATCATGAAATTCCATTATTTATTTTTACTAATATGACTTTTTCCCCAAAAATACAGACAATATGATTGCAATTTACCTCTTTGGGATTAATTTAAACATCAAGTTAAAAAATAAAATAAAATGCACGTACTCACAAGCAATGCTCCAGCCTCTAATCAGACTACCCTGTAGGGATTATTTTAGTGGAAGCATAAAGTTTTTCTATGTGCTGCTGAGCTGCTGATGAAACGTTGGTGCGTCATCGTGGAAACCTGGGATACTTTAGTGGCAGGTTTTAAAGCAATAGAAATAACCAGAGGAAGGTTTTAGATTAACACTAAAAATGCTCCATTCATATTTTCTAGACAGGACAGCATTTGAGCTGATTTCTGACGACATGCTGAGTCAATACTTTAATTGCCTACAACAAWAATTTAATGAGTTTTGGGTAGAATTTCATCTGAAGGAATCAGTTTTCCAACACTCACATCATACTATGGGATGATGTCAGGAGGACARAAGAGTAATGGCGTGTATGTCTACAAAAGCTTGGTTCATTTCCATGAGTAGAAAATGACACCTGGATAGTAAGACCCAGGTTCTCCATCCTTCAAGCCTTTCTGGCAGTAACCAGGCTGAAAGCCAGAAGAGAGGGGTTGTCTGAGAGCCAGCTGGATTTAAAAGATCTGCTCCTTGGAACAGATGATTCACTGCAGAGAGTAATTTCAGCCACAAAGAATCACAAACATAGTCATAGTCTAATTTTACAATGCTCAAATTTACTGCACAAACACATTGAGACCCTACATGGATTTAAAAAAAGTGACATCACTCATTCCCCTTTACATTCTCTTAAGTGTGAATGTATTCAAGTGTTTATTCTAAATAACAGTGAATTACCAAATCATATCATCCTTCAGTCTTAAGCAGAGGGCAGGAATAAAGAATGCATGACCCCAATCAATTAAATAAATCAACTAAGTATGAACAATATCGGAGTTTGCATAAATTTAAGCCAAACCACAGAGCTTCCATGTTGTGGCAACAGCACACTCATTTCAAGCAAATTGGACCACAGGGTCGATGGTCCATTAGACTGTTGGACCAAACCAACACAAACAGCTCACACAAATGGACTGTCTGGAGAAAAAAAAGCTGCCTTGTGAACCAAGTTCCTTCAACTGTCAACATCCTGCTTAAAACTTGTCCTTTACATGGGGAGATACAAACATGCAGCTTCTCACGTCTCCTTGCTTTCCTGATTTAACTGACTTAATGAAAGTACTGGTCCTGATTCATGGATGGGATATACTATAAGGGGCTACTGTGTCTGTGTTTCCTCAGATTGTGATAAAGGACTGATTATTAGTAAGTGGAGAAACCTGACATTTGTTACCCTGAAGGTGCTCAGCTAAAGGATCAGTATCTTTTTTTAGTCTGCAGTCATGTCTGCAGTGAAAAGTATATCTTGTGTGCTGGTTTACAAAATAAATTAAACCTCCTACTGAAGCTACTGCTCGACTTCTACCATTTTTATCTAGAAAAGAAAGTCAACAATCCGATAACTGTAAGCAGATTATCAAGCAATAATTGTATCTGCTATAAGCATCTGACATGTGAAACTATGCTTTTTATTAATGTGAATTGAAATCTTTTGACTTTTTATCTGACAGAACACTAAATAATAATAAAAAAGGTACAGTTTTTATGTTTCTCTTAAACTGTTTGCTTCTTTTATCATCAAGTAAGCAGGACAAGATGTAAGAGCTGCCTAATAAATGTAAAAGGTCAAAAACTGAGTGCTTTTCRTGTATTACAGTACATTAACTTTTTGCTGAGTTCCCTTCTCACCCAGTCAGGCCAGATGGACTGTGTCTGTGTCAGAAAACAGCTGCTCTGAACTTGAGAGAAGCAGCGGTGATAATTTATTTCAAACTTTTAACTTGGGGGTGTTATCTTGATTTTTACACCTTTCTACTGTATTGTATGTAAWGTTCACTGTTGTAATCGGATTATACAGCAGAGATTCAAAGCCGGACAAAACAAAAAAGTTGCAGAGATAATATGCTATTTGTTCAATTTTACAAAATAAAGATAGATTGATGACAGCACAATTGCTCAAACTATAAAACACGATGATAAAAAAATATATATAAGAGCCAAAACCTACACAAGAGGAGCAGCTTCTGTGTGGTCAGATGGCCARACATGACAATAGAAAAATAAAACTGTATGAGAACTACAACTGGTAAACGTCTTGCCATAACAATATCTTCAGAATCTTTGCTTTAACTGTTTTTAATCTTCAAGCATTTCTGCCCCTCCCTTTCTGCTGTCTGGAGCAAAGGAAAACTGGACAGACTTCATCTCCTCCTGTCCCCCCAGACTTTCTGTACTTTGCAGCTCAAAGGCAGCCAGAAGTGGGAAAAAAAAATCACAGGAAATTATCAAATTAAAAGATGCCAAGATAACAAAAATGCTGCAGAGATGGCTGCTTCAACTTTCAGAGAAGACCTGCTTAAGGAAGCCAAGTCAGCTGTCATAAGGCTACAGTGCAGAACTGTATCTTACTAATGAGCAATAAACGAAAGCAAAGTAAAAAAGAACTCTTTAGTCAGCAAACAACACCCTGGCATGTGTCAAATCAGCTTAAAGCAGTTTGTCCTTAAYTTKTGTAAAGCTGAATCTGTTTTCTTCCAGAAGTAGATACATTCTTAATGAGGCTTAGCTGACAGAAAAAACTGCTGTTCTGGTGGTTCCAAATTTTCCAGCTTCTGTTTTCCAAAACACCCTCATTGCACAGTTAAAATGTGACATTAGTTTTTTTTCCACAGAGCTCTTTTGCTTTCAGTGTGCTACCTATAAAAGCTAACAMAAAGCAACAAACGGCTGCTGCAAGCTACAACTGGACTGCTGAGACAAAGACRGCAGGTGGGCTGTGACCTTGTCTTGTAGAATGGTTTATTTGGGTGGTGGGCTTCTCTAAACTGCAAAACCCTGACTGAAACTGTAGCCAGGAATCAGGGGGCATGGGGTGAGGTCTGCTGCAGAAAAGTGGGAGTCAGCAGGTCAGAGCCTAATGGGGTCCAATGTGACCTCTGGCTCATAGCTCACAGGAAGGGTAGTACGAAGCCAGTGATACCAGACCCCAAGAGTGTGTGAGACCATTAGAGCCACTGTTCACAGCATGTAAACAGATGCTTATATTTGAAAATGAACATAAAAGAGGAGATAATGTACAAATGACAGAAAAAACAAAAGAAAGAGCATAAATATGCATATGGGTGTGAGCTCTAAGCCTGAGACAGATTTGTAAATCTCTGTTTACTAAACATTAGGGCAAGAAAGACGGAGCCTTGTGTTCAAGGGCATGACTTCAGACCGGTCAACTATGCTGTGACGTAAAGAACTAAGTGCATGTTTCATAAACAAAGCTAATTACCAAGTAAAACAAAGTAAGATGAAGGATTTGATTATCAGAGTTTAATGCAGATCGTTTCTAAAAATGCTATCACCAGAGGAAGTTTTCAGCTGAGCAGGGTGGGTGCCTTCAGTACATCTAAAACCCGTCATTCCCATAACTCTTAGCTAATTAGCGTCCCACCTCGTCTCATAATGACCATTTTTCACAACTTTCCTGACATTTTAAAAGAACTCCCAGCAATCTAGCGTCATTCCAGTGAGCCACTGGAGCTACTCACTGAAGGTTTTGCAGATGTCCGACACAGCCTTGAAGACCCGGTCTGAGAAGTTCACCTTAACCTTCATGTGCTTCATGTTGGGCAGCTGCAGGCGCAGCAGTTTGTGTTGCGGCGTGAAGAGCAGCCGGGCGTCGGCCTGGATGCCATACTTGTCCAATGTCCAGTGGGTTTTCAGCAGCCATGTCTTCTTCTTTTCCCACCACAGGGCGTGATCTGACCAGTCCTTCTTCACATCTAACATACAGAAGAAAATAAAGACAAGTTCATTAACCGCACTGATAAAAATGTTCACTTGAAACAACAAATAAGTAGAGTCCAAAGCAATGAGCAAAATGCCTATGCAGACTCACAAAAAACTAACAGAAAGTACAAATATAGCAGTGAGTCATCAACACTACAGTGACTACAACCATCAAATATGTCCCTTCTGGGGTAGAGATCACATTTGGGAAGAACAGGGCAAAGGGTCTCCAGAAAACATTTGCAAAAGAGGMGGTGAAGTCAAACTGAGAAGGATGAGAAGACTTTGTGAAAGACGTGGCTGTTTGAGTGACACTGGGGGAATATCAGGTTCATACCTCCCTCTTTGTTCCAAAGTAACTCTGTGATCCTTTCAAGCAACACGAGGCACTCACAACCCCACATAGCTTCCAGGTTTMTGCTCGGTAGGAGCTCGGCACAATAGCAACGAAACCTGTGGTCTCATGGTGTAAGTTTCTGACTTCAAGGTCGAGGTGAAAGCTGCAGGGATTTGAGGGAAAGTAAAGCATCTGCTTTGCAGATCACCTGGTTTCTATATAAGTAGCACAGTCACGGGCTGAGGTTATGTCTGAACCACAAATCAGTTCAACGTGAAAAGTTGAAAAAGCTATTCACCCATTTTTAGGAAACAAAAAAGGTAATTTCAAATATACTTTATCAGATAATTGATGGAAATTACTTAGAAAAAGAGCTAAATAAGATAGCTCAAGGACTTCTTGTTTCTTTTAGTGTTAATGCTTTAAACGATTTTGTTGCAATGGACAAAAAATAAATCATCTTTACTTTTTAGACATCATTATATTTTGTAGATCTAGACAAACTAAAGAAAACACTTTACATGGTTTTGTCTCGTTTTCACAGTCCCTGGACACCAGCAAGTCAGAGTCACAAGACTGATTTAAATCACTCTGAAAGATACTCTCTCTCTCTCAGTTCCAATTTATGTCAAAAGTACAGACTTCATGCTATTCACCAGCTTTTAAAGTGTGTTGAATGGTTGAGTAAAACCAGAGTTATGATAGATAAATTATGGCACTTTTTTTATTCATCATATTTGATGCACTTTGCAACAGAAGGCAATGAATGACTGACAGATTTATGGAAAAAATTCCTCAATCCGCCCTCTGTTCTCACCCTCACCCCACCAAACTTCAATAAAAAAACCCAAACTATTTCTGACTGATGCCTGAAATTATTTGACAAGTGCCAAAAAATATACAGGAAAAAGAAAATAAAAATGCAAAAAGTTGAATGAAGTCAGAGGAGATATCAGGACTGACCAATGAGATTTGAGAGATTTATTTACATTTGTTGCATTTGGATTTTATAGTTAGGGTGTAGTCATGTGTTTAGCACTTTGTTTAGTCAGTTTTAGTGTGTTTGAGTTCAAACAATGAGGTGATATTTATACGCAGAGCTGCAGCTGATATATGTAAGCAGAACTGACACTCATGTTGAACTTGTCTGAGGAATGAATAAATAGGAATATTAGGTGATCAGAAGTACAACACCAGACTCCCTGCTTACAACAAGTAAACAAGACTTCTCTGATGCCACAAAAGCAAACTGAGAAGAAGATATTTCAGTAATGGTTAAGATGGGAAGCACACATCTAAGAGGAATGGAGGGCATCAGCATCTCAATACTGATGTCACAATGAAAGCATTGTGATTTATCTTGGGGAGGGGKTTGGTTGTTTGTCAAGCTGTTGGGTTTTATACAGTTTAATCCAGACAAACTCTTGGAGCTTGGGTGAAAACATTACAGACTTGCTAGATCCCTGTGTATTACTCTATCAGCAAGGGGTCTTGCTGTCACCACTCCCTTCTGATGCCTCAGCTGTGCAGAACACAACTTCATTGCTACCATCAGCAGGACTGAACCCTCAACTTTCCTGTAGCTATTAAAAGGGAGAAATAATGAGAGAGTATAAAGAGGCAAACTGAAAATAATCCTGAATGTATTTTCATAATTCTGCTCAGCTTTTCCTTCAACAACCTTGTAATTTCTGGCGTCTGGGAGCCATGCAAAACTGCTTACATTTACATTTGGCACTGATATGTTCACCACAGACTAAGTTCTATAGAAATGTCCTCATGCTTGATATACATTACCCCCCTTACATTCTGTGGCAAGAGATGAATATAGAGTATAACCTGGCTGGTCTTTTGTAAATACAAACAGCTTATGGCCTCTGCTTCTCAGTTTCCTTATTGCTAACCATGGCCTTCCCCCCGTCCTTATTTGTGCCATTATGCAGTGGTTCGATGTGTTGTGATTGGACAAAGGCAGCCCAGGGAGGGTCCTACTGGGCTCTTTCAGCAATAACGTGGTAACTCAATCCACACAGAGAGGTAGAGAAGGCCAATGGCATCAACCAGCTAAAAATATAGCTGCCAAACCTGACGTCATGCAGCAGCCAGAGGAATGGGGGGGCCTAAGTAATTGGATGCATTAAATGTGGACCCACAGTGCCTGCATGTGCAGGGATTGAAAGACAAGCGGAAGGGGAAACAGACTAAAAGAAAACTGTGTTTTACAACCTTGACAAAACGTGATAATGGATACAGAAATTGTGTGCTGCATGTTTGTGTAGGTTTGAGCATCTGTTGAAAGCTAAGTGTTCCACATATCCATCCATTGACTGCATTAGCTCTGTGTGTCTGTGTTTTAATGAGCAAAATTAATTCCTAAATTCTGTCAAACCAGGTAGTCCTTATTCTCCAGCACAGTTCCAAACAGGGACTAGACACCAAAGAACATGCAACTTTAAGAAAAGGAACTGATCATTACTCCTATAGCAAGTAATCAAAAACAGGAAATAGCTATAATTGCACTTGAAATAACGCACCCAAAGGGCTTTCATTAGGATAATACAGGAGATTGAGATGTCCCTCCTTTCCTGTCTTCCTACTCTGTTCATCTTTTCCTTTCTACTCCCGAGTATCTGTGGTGTTTACATTAGGAGACGGCAATGTTTATGGAGGCCTGTCTGTGAGGGGGAGGGGATAGGGCAACACTGRAGAGGAAGACAAAAAAGGGAGTGAGAGAAAGCCCATGAAAATTGGAGATGAGGAGGACGGGAAGAGGATGGGGTGGAGCTCCTACGGGGGACACACTACAAGACAGCAGGTGGCACAAAAGAAAAATAAAGTTTCATCTTCAAGTTCAATACAGAAAGCCCAAAATATAAACATGTATTATTTTTAACAAGTATAATTTTGGTTTACGTTGAGGAGTAGAAACATCCCAAAATTCAGAACCATTTCGTGAATTATACTAACAAGAGAATCAAATTAAAACTTAATATTTGCAGACTATTTTTAATAAATTAATACATCAGTTGTTGCATCTTTGCAACAGATGTGATGTTCTGCAGCTTTAACAGAAAAAAAAATCTTGCTCACTCATACAGTGACTCTTATTATATCTGCTCTTTTTTCATGTTTTAAAGTTAATGTCAACTGACAAATAAAACAAAATCAAGGCTTATAAAATGATTTCCGAGACTGCATCTGGAGATGTTGCTGTCCATGAGAGCAGCATGGCTTTTTCCTGTTTCTTTCCAGCAATCTGTTCATCAGTGGTAAAAGCCATCTTCATGCAGTGCAAGGTTTTGTCACTTTAAGCCATCAGCTGATAAGATTACAGTTGAGTGAGACTGGTCATGCTGTTTCCTTGGTGACTMCAGGTTGACGCCACAGGGGCAGAGGTGTGAGGCGATGCCTTGTTTTGATACATCACAAAGATATATAGAGCAGTATTGCTTAAATTGAGATGTTTCTTTGGTACAATCAAAAACATCACAAAGAATGGTCAACGCTATAGATGAGAGGCCTTCAGTTTCTAAATATAGTCCACATCTRAAGCAAAGTGACGGTCGGTATTGACAAGCAAAGACTTAGCAAGCAACTGTTCTGCACTGTCCTTTAATTAAAGATGCTGTAAATCACATTTAGCCACTTTGAAGCTCATGCTCTCTCGCGGTAGATCTTGTCAACAATATACCCGACTTGTATGCAGCAGGTCAAATAAAAATGTGATGACAGTATCTGTGAGGCTAGACAAGACAAAGAGCTATAAGGGATCACTTTAGAGGAAAATAAAGTTATTCAGAAAACTGAAAAGTAAACTGATCTTGAATCAGTGATAATGTAAAACAGTTGATCCCTATGTACCAGATGTAGAACTGGACCTTAAAAGTAACACAGTTGATAAATTGTTAGTTTGTATTTTTTTGAATAACAAGCACATAGTACCRTATGTGTGAGAATCAAGTAGTACTTTAAACAAAATATCACAAGAAATTTTCATAAAGCCAATCTTGTCAACTTGTGATCAAAAAGACACATTTCTCTCTTTTAAAGTAATGACAACAAGCTGTAGAGATTCCAGTGTTAACTTTGCTGAGCCTTAAGTAATAGCATTTCATTTGTTGAAGGAAATGTAACTCCCACAAAAAAATAAAATAAAATAAAATAAAATTAAGGCATCCACGCACAAAGGAAATGGTCAGATTAGATTAAGGCACACAGGATATCATGAAGAGTATTAATGATTAAATAAATAACAATGCTGATTCTTAC